CTCGCGTTGCCGCCAGCTGCCACGTCCCCGGTTCGGGAATTTTGACCGATTCCCTTTCGATGGGCGGCGCGGGGAGAACCGCGCCGTTCTCAAGGAGTTACCCCATCTCTTAGGATCGACTAACCCATGTGCAACTGCTTGTTCACATGGAACCTTTCTCCACCTCAGTCTTCAAAGTTTCTCATTTGAATATTGCTACTACCACCAAGATCTGCAGCGATCGGGAGCTCCACGCGCGCTCACGCGCACGCTTCGATGCGTCCCACCGCGCCCTCCTACTCGCACGGCTCCCCAGCAGCCGGGTGCGGCCGGGTATAGGTCACGCGCTTGAGCGCCATCCATCTTTCGGGGCTAATTGATTCGGCAGGTGAGTTGTTACACACTCCTTAGCGGATTTCGACTTCCATGACCACCGTCCTGCTGTCTTAATCAATCAACACCCTTTGTGGGATCTAGGTTAGCGCGTAGTTAGGCACCGTAACCCGGCTTTCGGTTCATCCCGCCTCGCCAGTTCTGCTTACCAAAATGGCCCCACTTGGCACTCATGTGGTGGGGTCAGCCAGCACCCCTGAAAGCCAGCCACAATTAAGATGGCGGCCCTCCTCGCCCGTTTAAAGTTTGAGAGTCGGTCGAGGGAGCTTCTCCCCCGAGCCCGCCAATCATTCGCTTTACCAGACGTAACCACGTATCGAGCACCAGCTATCCTGAGGGAAACTTCGGATAGGGGAACCAGCCTACCAGATGGTTCGATTAGTCTTTCGCCCCCCTATACCCAAGTCTGACGAACGATTTGCACGTCAGTAGCGCTGCGGGCCTCACCAGAGTTTCCTCTGGCTTCGCCCTGCTCAGGCATAGTTCACCATCTTTCGGGTCCCAACGCGACTACTCAACGCACCCCGGGCGCCGAGGCCCCCGGGGCGGTCCGTGGTGCGGGCAGCACGAGGCCGCCTCTCACGGGTCGCTTTCACTGTCGCCATTGTGGTTTTTCAACCCATTGGCTCGCAGCCGCGTTGGCCTCCTTGGTCCGTGTTTCAAGACGGGTCGCATCAGCCCGTTTCGCCAGCGCCGACCCGTGAGGGCCATCCTCGGTCTCCGCCGCGGTGGGAGCGAGCTCCTTTTCCCGCGGCATCGACCGGCGCTGCGTACCTCCGGGCCCCGCGTGAACGGGTCCCGCAGGTGTGCTTGGGCTCATGCGCTTATCCTCCTGACGATTTCAAGCACTTTTTACTCTCTTTCCAAAGTTCTTTTCATCTTTCCCTCGCGGTACTTGTTCGCTATCGGAAACCTGGCCGTATTTAGCCTTGGATGGAGCTTACCACCCATGTTGGGGCTGCACTCCCAAGCAACCCGACTCTTCGGATGCGCCTCGTGAAGTGACGGGTCGTCGCCCGACGGGGGTGTCACCCTCTCTGCCGCCACTTTCCAGTGGACTTAAGGCGGCGCCCGTCACAGAGAACGCTTCCTTTTCAGACTACAATTCGGAGGGCCGGAGGCCCTCGGATTTCAAGCCTGGGCTTTTCCTTGGTCGCTCGCCGCTACCAAAGGAATCACGGTTGTTTTCGTTTCCTCCGCTTAGTAATATGCTTAAATTCAGCGGGTGGTCTCGCCTGACTTGAAGCCATCGCTTGGGGGTTTGCCCGGTTCTTCCCCCGGTCCGACCATTTTTGTACGGGCCCCAGTTCCGACCCCTCGCCCGGTCCGTGCACGCTACTTTGGAGGCGGGAGACCGAGGGTTGCCACGCCCTCGGCTCCATTTTCCGTTTCGCGGCCTTCTCGGGAGAGGAAAAGAGGAACGGTTTGGCGTCCGATACCCCCCCACCTGCTGGAGGTCCGGACGGGGTCCGTTGGCCGGCTGGTTCACCCGAGCCCAGCGTGGGTCGCCACCCGCCTCGTCTTCGCTCGTCCCGCTCGCGTCCTCCCGGTTGGCATCCGGGGATCTGCACTGGGGTCGAGACGGAGAGGAGACGGGCTTGCGGCGGCCCTGCAATTTCAGCCGTGCTGCCCCCCGTTGTGCACGGGTGGTTGCGACGGCCATCTCGTTTTCCCAGGTACGGGCGATTGTCTCGAGCAAAACCCGAGCGCCCCTCGTATGCCGACGCATTTTGGCAGTTCCGTCCCGTTTCACCCGGCCGCACGTAGCCGCGTGCGGAGGGTGTGGGTGCGGATGCGTGGCTCCACCTGGATGTGTGTGGCGTTCAAGCAGACGTGCCCTCGGCCGAGGCCTCGGGCGCAAACATGCGTTCAAAGGTTTCGATGATTCACGGAGTTTTGCAATTCGCATTACGTATCGCATTTTCGCTGCGTCTTCATCGAGCCAGGTTCCAAGATATCCATCGTCAGGAGTGGGTCCCAGTTTTTATTAGGTGCCGGGCTCATGGGGGCCCGCTCAAGGGGAGGGTTTGCGACCGGACGGCCAGTCCCGATCGCGGAGAGGTCTATATCCCGTGCCGTTTCGCAGCTCCTTGATGTCCCTGCGACCGGACCCGGCTGAGAAACGTGC